AATCCCAAAGCTTCCTCTGAAAATCCCTCAAGAAATCCCCAAATTCCGAGCTCTCAAGTCCAAAAAATGAAGAATAAAATCAAACCCTCGATTTTTCCTTTTTTCTGCTAGTTAAACCGCACCTGCGGTCAATTACCCGCTTCCGCGGTACCGCATTTGCGGCTAAAAAATCTGCACATGTGGAGTGTCATTAAACTACCAGGTTCCGCACCAGCGCACATATATCCGCATCTGGGGATGCGCTTCTGCGCTCCACCATCCGCTTTTGCGGAAACTTGGCTTCCTCCCCAAATCTGCTTCTGCGACCACTTCACCGCATCTGCGGATATGCAGATGCAGCCCTCATCTCGCATCCGCGCTCACAGGCTCCTATGACCAAAAGTGCAAATGCGCCCTTCTCCTCGCTTCTGTGGGGCCTCACCTATAGACTTTCCACCGCAGGTACGAAAACACCAAAAAACCATCAACTTCAGATTATGCACAAGTCCAATTTTCTATCCATTAAGCACCCGAAACTCACCCGAGGCCCCCGGGACCTCAACCAAACATATCAACTAACCCTAAAATAATATACGAACTTAGTCGAGCCCGCAAATCACATCCAACAATGCTAAAATCACAATTCACCCTCCAATTCAAACTTAAGAAACTTGAAACTTCCAAATTCGACAACTGATGTGCTGAAACCAACCAAACCATGTCCGATTGACTCCAACTTTTGCACACAAATCACATTCAATACTAAGTACCTACTCCAACTTTATAGGGGATTGGAGCTCTAACTCTCGAAACAACTGGCAGAGTCGTTACACCTTGTATCTGCAAACATTTCCGTTGTTGATTGTTTATGAATCTCAACAGCTGAAACATTTTCATCACTTGACTGTTTAGGCATCTGACAAGATGGAAGATCTTCAGTTGTTGTTTGTTAACCATACTCACATGTTGATTATGAGCCTTTGAATCACACATTTTATACCACTTATCATCATCTATATTTCCTAAAGTCGTTTTACTAACTCCAATATCAACTAGCCAGGTGTTGCATAAAATCCATCAAGCTATCAGAAAAATAAACATAAAAAATTAAATATAGAACTATGCATTTATGTACTAGAAGTACCTTCCTTGATCCCTTATAAATTCACATCTTCATTATTATTGCCATCATTTTCATTGATATCATGGGCATCGTCTCCAGAGCCAGACATTGAAGCATTTTTTAAATTCTTATAACAGAACAGGTAAAAAAAATTGCAACTAACATGAAATAATCAATATGTTGAAACCACAAAAATATACCAACATCTAATACAACAGTATACTATTATACCTTCTTTCTCTTTGTTTTATCTACCGCATACTCATTAGTATCACCATAACCATCTTTATCTTTTTCGACATCTATGTTGTGTTGGTGCTACACAAGAAATTTCAAAAAAGTTTTATTAACTTTAGAACTATAAAAAAATAGAAAAATAATACAAAAAGGAATACTAGTATACCTTTGAATTGCTCTTCTTAATTGAATCAATGGCATCGAACACCTCCACAAATTTCTTGGCAAGATAATTCTTTAAAACTACTAGTTCATCCTTATATTCCTTCTTCAATGACAATATTGCGTTCTTCAATTTCTCATGGCTATCTACCAAAATCTTAAACTAAACATCTCAGTCATTACCTATGGGCAAGGCATTTTTAACTTTAGACTATTTTTTTTATTTTTCAGGTGAAGGATCGACAAAGGCATACCTTGAACTATGACGTTTGTCATGAATATTCTCTACCAGCTCCTTCTCTAATTCATTTACAGCTTTGCTTTGTATTTTTGATGTTTGAGGTGGAGGATCGACAAAGTCATTATCTGCCACCTTATTGTCCAAGTCAATTTTAGCTTTCCCCTACCTTTTGCCCTACCTTTTCACCTGTCTTTTGCCTTGCCTTTTTAAGCTCTTTGGTGGATGATCGACAAAGTCATCATCTGAACTAAGGTGCTTCTGATCAACATTATCTGTCGATTCATTCTCCAAGTCGTTAAGAGACATATTCCTTAAATTCAACTAAATAAACAAACATCTAATAAGTTAGAAAAAAAAGTATTTACTGATGGTATACTATTTTACATAAGAAATAGTCACAGTTATAACCGTGTGTACCAAATATACAAATGAGTATATCACATGATATACTACTATTAACTGGAACAAACATCTAATAAGTTAGTAAAAAAAGAAGTATTTACTGATGTTATACTATTTTACATAAAAAAAAGTCACAGTTATACTAGTGAATTGGTATACCAGACATATAAATGAGCACATCACATGATATACCAATATTAACTGAAAATACATGGGGAAACAAGAAAGTAATTTACTTTGTCAGAAGGAACAATATACACTTTCTCATGTAATTCCTCGAACTTTAGGTGCCTTGTGACCTTCCATCTAAAAATTCGTGGAGATTTATTCTGATACCGAAATCAACACTATTATGCACATATCCACAATATTCATATAACCATATATGAATAGCTAGAGGAAACCCATAAATTCAATAATACTGTGCCCGCCTATCCAAAATGCCGGACATTGATTCCAAAGTAGCCTTATATACCGCTCTTCCCCATGGACAACTGTTATAATCACCTTTCTTAACCAAGTCAAAGCAACCTCTATGAATCAATTTGGTGTTCTTAATAGAAAAAAAAGGAAGGAGTTTATCACATAGAGCACTTCTACCTTCACAGCATCTTCGTCAGACTCAAATATTTTATTAAAAAAATAATTTCTAAAGGCATTTCTTAGCAAGAGAAGGATAATCCGCAAAGTAATTTTCAGTCAAATGGTTCTTCTTCCCCTTAGACGAGTAAGGAGCCGTACATCACCAGTACATTTTAATCTAGTTACACAAGCAAACTCAAACAAATCAAAACGTATCTTAACTCCATTGACAACAAACTGCATTTTAGCCTCATTTTTATTTTCAACCTCCATTATCAACAAAGAATATATCAACTGCGATTGCATCTCTATTCTCGGCAAATCCAACAAATACCCAAAACAAATTGACTTAATAAGCCTAACTTGTGTTGTTAATAATTTTCTTCTCAAATCGCTAACAATCTCAGAATTGAAATAAATGCCAAGTTTCGTCTTATCGCTTGCATTAAGCAACATTTAAATAGACACACATATATAAGTATATCATATGGTATACATTAGAGGAACTAGCTCTTAAAAAGTAAGCTCTAACATACATAAAACTTTGAATAGATTCAAAAATTTACCTTTGAAGGGGATTCGACATGTTTTTTTCTGACGAATACTAGATTCAGAAACCTTCCTTTTTTGTAGGCCTCAAATCAGTTTCAGTTTGAGAAACATCGAGTTCTTGTTGTTAGAACTTGGTGAACCGCCGATTTCGCGTTCTTTAGCACTTTGAGAACGCGTTCTTCTCAAACTAGCTGCTCCGGGTCCATTTGACTTTGCTGAAGAACCATTTGCTGAAGATGATTCTCCAGTTGCATGACTACTTAAGGGGATTTTCGGATCAATTTGAGAAACATCAATTTGTTATTGCTTAGAACTTGGAGAACCATCAATGTCACGTGCCTTAGCCCTTTGAGAATGCGTTCTTAGAGATCCATTTGCCGAAGATGAATCTCCATTTGCATGGCCGCTTGGAGCCTCTTTCAAACAAGACTTGGCCATTGTCACTGAGTGATTTTTGACATCCATATCAATATCATAAACTTGTGGTGAAGGTGAAATTGGATGGAAAGGTCTTGCACGTTTAAAAATGTGCTTTATACCCATAAGACTTTAACACCTTTTTCTCGAAATTAAAGCTTGACATTGCCAAATTTTGGAGGAGAAGAAACGAAAATTGAAACCTAACGAAGATTTGGAAGCGAGAATTCGCGATTTCGCAGGAAATTTGGGAAAAGTTGCAAAATATTTTGTGTATGTTCAATTAGAGAACGGTTGTCTATTTTGAAACTTGGAAAGAGAGAAGTACTGACATAAAACGTGGGGCACACGTGTGATAAACTGTAATTTTGGGATATTTTGCATCATTTTTAAAAACGGTGTAGCATTAAATATTTAAATGGGGCTCTAAGTGTCATTTTCTCTAATATATTCATTGGAAACTTACACAAATGTTCCAAATAAATCTCAACTTACCAACCTCTAACCATTAATCATAGACTTACTAAAACTAGCCAACAAAAATTGAAAAATCAAATAATAGAGTTCTTTCTCTCAAAGAATCACATGCAAAAATCACCTTCCATATTTTTAAGCATGATTAGCAACACTAAATACAAGACAGAAAGGAAATTTTATGGATGGGGCAGCAAATAAGGTGATGAAATACAAAAAATATATACAATATTCCAAAAATCTAAACAAAAAAGGAACTTTTTCAATGGGTATAATTGAAATTCATTAAAAATATATAGATAAGTCAATATACAAAATTTGAGGAAGATTGGAGGTGATTTGGACTGATTTTGTATCAAAATTAGTAATTAAATCAAGTTCAAAAAAGTCTTTTGCGACACATGTATCTCACACGCAGGTATACATGAATATAAATGTGATACACAATAGATACAAATATGATACATATGTGATACACAAATGATACACAGTTTGATACACATCATTTTTTTTTATGTTCAGCTTTTATCGAATTTTTAATTCAAACCACCTCAAAACTTCACCAAATCATCCAAAAACTGAGATTCAAACTCCTTAAGTTGTCCCCAATCTATTCTAATAACACCCACTCAAAACAAAGCAAAAAAATTGATTTTTTTTGCTACAAATAGCTAATTGGTTAATTTGACTAATATTAATAATATTTTATCAATTGACCAATTTTTATAATGAGCTACCTATAAATAGACATATCTAGTAATTTCCCTTCATTAAATTAACTAAAGAAAAGCAGCTATAATAAGAGAAGACGCAGCTAACTTTCTCTAGGTCCAATTCTAAAAGTAAACCCAACAAAAAGTGTGGTAGTGGCCCAAGTCCATTTAATAACAATTCTGATATCCAAAAATCTAATCTTCTTCACCCCCCTCCCCCTTCGATAACCTCACCATTCTTCTGCCAATCTCTGATCAATCCGTCACCCGATTTCGAAAATGCTGAGGAATGTCGCCGGAAGAATCCTCCGGATCGGTTCACAATCATCGACGGTGACGCCGGCGGTGCAGCGGCGACTATATCACGAGAGAGTGGTGGACCATTACAATAATCCCCGAAACGTGGGGTCATTTGACAAGAATGATCCTACAGTTGGCACGGGTCTAGTCGGTGCACCTGCTTGTGGAGACGTGATGAAGCTGCAAATCAAAGTCGACGAAGAGACCGGAAAAATTACCGATGCTTGCTTTAAGACCTTTGGATGTGGCTTCGCTATTGCTTCTTCTTCCGTAGGTCTGATTACAATTTCGCTCTCTTATTTGTCTTTGTGTATCTTTTTACTAGGAAAAACTGTTTGCTTGATTAAAAAAATCCCTCTATCCAAACTTTTTGGTGTTTTTGTAAAGTACTCCTATTAATGTGACACTATCAACTTTAAATTTTCTATTTTAATCTTAATGAAAAGTATTTATACCCACACTCAAATGGTATGACACTTTAAGACCATAAATTTCAAAAGTTTTGCTATCACACAAATGTTATGACACGATTTAATAACACAAACTTTAAAAGATCCGTGCGGACTGCTAAGTCAAACTAGTTCACATAAATTGGAATGAATAGAGGAAGTACTAGTTTATTGATGTTTCGGGGAAAACCCTCATATAGGAAAATGGTAGAGAACCTAACAAAAATATGATTTTCTTAGAGAACTAGGAGTATTACTTGATGCTATAAAGCTGAAATGGTAGTGATTCTAATTACCAAGTTTTCTAATTTTCAGCCACTGAATGGGTGAAAGGGAAACAAATGGAGGAAGTACTCTCCATAAAGAATACGTAACTCCTTTATCCTTTACTTGTTTATTATATTTTTGACTTCATATTGCATGTAGTTCTGATCTGTAATTGTTCTCTACCTTCCCTCATTCTTTAAGTTACCTTATTTGCTAATAATCTAAGAGTTGAGTCTCTTTGGTATACTTTTGAATGCTGCTGTAGTTTTAATTAGCATTTTTACCTGGAAGAACGAGGATGTGGAATACCACAACAACAATTACTATGCCTCAACCCCAAACAATGTTGGGGTCGGCAATATGAATCCACAATTCCTTATCTAAGCTTTTCATATCATCATCATGCCAAAATAAAGTAAGAGTAGTAGTGAGAGTAAGTTAAATATATAAAAAACATAATTAAAACAAATAAAAATGGTGATTTGCTAGGAGTTAACTTGATGTGTATATCTACATGTCGTTCCAATGAGTTTAAGTTAGATTACCACAATGAGGCATGCCACATCCCACCCTCTTCCCCTTCCATTTCTTCTAAACACCTCCACCCAAAGCCACCTCCAACTACCATCACTACCACACGCCCCCAAATCAGATTCAAGTTACTGTATATTTTCTAACAACAATTATTGATTCTCATATTTATCCTACTGAGGTCTATCAACAATTCCAGCTGAGATTAGAACTAAAATGTACTGCATCAATATGCAAGAAAACACAACCAAGCTTCAGACAAAAAATGCACAAGCAGTCACCCTTCATTGCACTAATGGCTACATTATAGCCACTTGATTTCTTTCCCAACAATACTAGATTTCGAAGAACTTGATAGGTTCTTCAGCTTTTCTCAACACCTCGATATGAAGGTTTCAAGTTTTCTTCTCCTAAATCTTGACAAAGTCACTGTTAATCTACGAATCTAACAAAGATAAATGATTTTCAGAAGATTCAAACAAAAAATCACTAAACACCCACAAATTTTCAGATCTGATGGAGTCTATCGGAAACAGTCTCTCTACTTCATCGGGGTAGGGGTAAGGTTTGCATACACACTACCCTCTCCAAACCCTACTTGTGGGATTTTACTTGGTTGTTGTTGTTGAAAGTGAGAGGGAGTTGGTAGACGTTGCAAATGTGTACAAGAAGAGTTGGACATGAAGATGAAGGTGGATTCTTGATAGGACAAACCCAGTTCATTGTAATAAGTCAAAAGAAAGAAGACAAAAAGGAAAGAGAAAAAGCAAAGTTATGCAAATGTTGATTTTGCTTGTCTGTAAGGGAGAAAACGTAGTGTGAGTAAGATTGTCAGGCGGAAGAACTTCGGACTTTTACCTACTCACGACCACATAGAGAATAGCCTTTTATTACTAAAAAGAAGAGGAGGAGTTGTGATTATGTGTTTACAAATGAAAGAGCAGAGTCCTTTTTATAGGTCACTTATGTCATAGGAAAGAAATTCGAAGATGAATTCTTCCTCTTGCTAATCTAATTCATACTACTTTTTCTCCTTTGCAGACAAACAAAGTCAATATTTGTATAACTTTGCTTTTTGTCTTTGCGTGTTTTCCACTTCTTTTGTCTTCTTTCTTTGACTTTTCTTTCTTTCTTTCTTTCTTTCTTTTATAATGTACAGGAATTGTCCTATCAATCTCCCCCTCAAACCCATGTATATCAAAGAAAAAATAAAATAACTAATTTCTAGTGTGGCACCTTCTCATTATTAGTTTTGAAGGCTAACTGAGGCAGTACATAGCCTCGGCTTGTCAACAACGACAACTTTGGTTAACATATCTGACGGGTTCTTCGATACTAGTTGGTATGGTAAACATATCTGTCTATGTTTGTTAACCTTTTGGTTACACTATATTGGTATGGTAATATATGCAGAGTTTTCCCCATCACATTAATGAAATGTTAACTGCACCTTTCTCACTGTTTAGCTAATATCAAGTCTAATATCGGTTTCTATTAGTTTAATGTTTGATTCATGGACCATCAGTCCACATGATACTAACTTAATCTGTTAGGGGAAATTTCCACCACGGTATTTTGCTCGGGGGGCCTTTTTGCGCCTCCTTGTTTGGTACACCCCTTCAAATCCCCCCAAAAAGAAAGGAAACAAAGAAAGTATCTGTTTATGATGGACAACTTGAAGTTTGAATTGTTGCTGAACAAATTTCTTGGGTGAGGAGGTTCTTTTCTAGGTTCATTTAGTTGAAATTTTGGCTTGGCTCATTGGTACTTGTTTGCAGTAAACTTTAGATATTTGGATATCAGTCTTTTAGGGTGAAGTTAAAATAAGGAATTGGCGAGATCTGAGGAGAGCCTTATCAAAAGACGTGAGTATATAAGTGGCCAAAACTTAGGATTTCCCCTTAATAGAAGAATACTTCTATGCAAGCTTCTTTGAAATATCTTTTCCCTGAGCTAAAGTATCTTTTTCCTGATCTATTTCATCTGATGCTCTCATTCTCTTTTTTTTTTTTGGGGTTATATTTCTGAATAATTGGAGATTGTACAAGATTCTTGTTTTCATGTTTCTCTCCTTTATTTGTCGCGTTATTCTAAAAACTGAAGAAGGATTGTCTGTATGAGAAATGTTGCTTAAACTATCTTGCTTGAAGGATCTAGGACTTTCAAGTCGGAGGAGAGGAGGCCTGCGAGGCCTTTGCATTGTGTGTTTTTCCAATTTGTATGACAATCTGGCATATGTTAATGAGCATCTTAATCTCGAGACTTGTTTATTCCTTATTGAAGGTGGGAGGAGTAGTTCCTCATTTCGAGAAGAGATAGTTCTGCCAGGATAGCTTGCAATTTTTAGAACTAATGCTGAATTGCTTTTTTTTTTCCTTCTAATTTTTACTTTTTAAAAATTTATCAAAATAAAAAAGAAAAAGGAAGAAGTAATTCCTTATTAATTCTTCTGAAAAAATGCAAGCTCCTCTAACAAGACTATCTCTTACTGTACTTGGAAAGAACTAATCCCAATTTGGAACAGAAAAAACTGGCTTACCTGAATTCCTGCATTTTTCAACTTTCATTGCTGATGTCACTGTTCAGCTTCATTGCCAGCAACATTATCAATTCCCAAGTGTAAAAGAGATGCCCTTATATACAGCAATACTTTAAGAGTTATATATATTCATAAGTTCTTGTCCTTGGATATTGCCCAGTTCCATGATGTTTGTGTCTGTAATACCCATCTTACTGCCGTTCTCTGTATTTACAGATGTGATTAGATAGGCTTATGGGAGAAGCTATGTGTGAATATAGAATTTGATGCCTACAACTGTATATGGTCAATTGTCCATTGCTCATGTTGCTCTAATATAATAGAAGATACTTTGGTAGCCCGGACACCAAGGTTATCAAGAAGAAAAAGAAATAGAAGATACTTTGGTAGTCTGCATTATTCTGAATTGTGCTTAGTATGCTGAAACTTGTGTGGCATTTGATGGTACTACAGGGAGATAGCGAAACATCTTTCTCTTCCACCTGTTAAACTGCACTGCAGTATGCTTGCTGAGGACGCAATAAAGGCTGCTGTGAAAGATTATGCAGCATAGCGGGCAAAATTGAGTGATAATGCAAATGATTCTCAGATAGGCAAAGCAGCTGATGCTTGAATACTTGTTGCAAGAAATGAAGTGGTTTCAAGAAAGGAATTTGAGGAAGAACCTAGAATGCTTGTGTATGTAATATTCTTTCGGTTTTCATAAATGTAAAGTTGACTGTTTGAAGTTTTGTTTTGTAATCTGTTTGGATAAAGCTGTGACCTCACTTTGTCCAGTTTGAAGTTTTACTGGAGCAATTGAATCACCTGTTTAAACCAGTGGCCTGAGATGCTACCGTTTGTTGATTTTAAGTAGCAGAAGACATGGTGGTCTATAATGGTCTTCTGATCAAAAGGAGTAATAAGATCAAACTGAAAAATGGTCCTGTCAGAAGTATCTGTTTGATTGGAGGATAATATCTAGATACAAATGGTTTGAGTAGCATTTCAAACTTTGCAGATTGGACAGGGCGATACATATAATTCTGATGGGCTGATTTTGGGCCCAACCCATACTAGCCTGTGCAAACATAGTAACCCAGTTCAACCCGTAAAATTGGGGAGAAATTCAAAAATAGCTAGATTTATAAGTGGTCATTCAAAACTAGCCACAATTTCAAAAGTCATCAAAATTTAACCACTTTTCATATAAAGATAAATCTGAACGAAAACACTGTTCAAAATCCAAAAAATACTCCAGCATAATATACTGGAATTCTAGTATAATATACTCGAACTCCAGAATAATATACTGAAATTCCAGTATACTTTGCTGGAACTTCAGTATAATACACTGGAGTTCCAGCAAAGTATACTGAAATTCTAGTATATTATACTTATGTTTAAACTTATTCCAGTATAATACACTGGAGGTTTAAACCCTGCAGCACCTATGTTCACTCCTAGTTCACCTATTACTAATGCATCACAAGAGGCTAATGTTACAAAGGAAGGCAATCTTGATGTGGGGAAGGAAAAGGAAACAAGGAAAGAAACCACATCTCGGGTATCTAGAGCTTTTGCAGGCAACAATGTCAGTATGAATCAGTCATGTCAAGAAATACCATTGTCACACCTCCATTTTGCGCGCCCGCCCCGAAGGGTAAATGCGCGAGGGAGTTTTTCCAATTTAAGTGACAATATTCGAAATGAGATTATTTATGTAATTCAGAGTCGCCACTTGAGAAAGGTTTGGCTTTTGGTGTCCCAAGTCACCGGTTAATTTTGAATCCCAAATCAAGGAAATTTTCGACTTTCCAAATGAAGTCTGCGAACCAGAAATTCTAA